ACAATTTTATTACATGCCATTAGCATTGTTCTTCGCAGTGGAACTCAAATACGTTGTGCTTATCCTAATTGTTCCTATTGAAGATGTTTTCTACTACTTTGTATGTCACAATAAAATCTTTTGTGTAATTGCGTATCAGTTCAAGTGACAACTTTTTTATACTATATTTGCAACAGAAATAGTGTCTCAAAAAAATTAATTATGACATATTTATATGAAATACATTGTAGTAGAATTGCAAGTTAAGCGATATTTGATATGGTATGGGTCAACTTTAATTATAATATAAGAGACTGTGGAAGAAGTAAAAAGTTAATAATAATAATTCTTTGAAATTTGTGTACAATGAGCACACTTAAATTTAACAGTTAAATATTAAACAATTCTAGCATTAAATTAAAATTGAAAATGCCTAAGTTTACATGCCTGGAATGCCTTCGACTACACATAGATAAATATAATCACAATCACAAACAGTATTTTCTCAAACAAATAAGTTTTTATTTCGATCTTAACCTAATCATACTATAGCTTTTATTAACTTCTTGTTGAACTTTATCTATTAGGTAAATTATCTATTAGGTTCTTAATTAGATTTAACACAGCAGAGCACATTAGAATTTCTAATTCTATATAATTTTAAAACTATTCTCTTTTCTCTTCGTTTGTTTCTTGTTTCTATATTATGTAACAATTATATTTTTATTTTTCAATTTCATGGAATAAAAATTTATATTTTGTAATTCATTTAATAAGAATCGTGTTTGAAAATGTCTGTTTTTTTATCCGTCGAAATTAAAACAATGTTCATAACCATTAGTACTTTCATACCGTAACTAAACTTAAAATGATTTACATTCGTAAAACTCTCCGGTTTTCTGAAAAGCCACAATCAATTAACTTGGAGATCAAATGTTATATATAAATCAAAAGTTTTTATTTTTCGAAAAGAATGTTTGATAAAAGATAGGAGTTTCATACCGATATAACATTTGGTGTTCCCAGCTATAGTGCTTTAAATGTTTATAAACAGTACTCTAATTAAACTATTCTCTTTGGCTACTAAATAGCTGTTACGGGTTTTTAAGTTGAAGTCTTAGAAATTAGGAGGGCATCTTGGTTGATTACAAAACAAAGTGTATGATTGTCATTTTCAATGATAACCAAGCGTCAATTACTAATCTTAAATTTTTCATCATTACTTAAGATTTAGTTGTAAAATGCGTGGCAGTAGTCGGCTAAATCGACGCAGTCATCAATCACCTCTAATAGGGGGATGGTAATAGAAACCATAGAGAAAATAAATTAAAAACAAATCATTTACACTGTCGTGGTAACTTGTTTACTGGTACTGGTTTATGTTCCACTGGAAAAGTTTAAATAGATAATAAGAGGTGAAAGTCACTTCGAACAAGTGAAATTTTCCAGTTGGCTTAGCTTTCGTGTATTAAGAACAGGTCTTGAAAAGTCCTAAAATATGACCATCTTCAATCCTGCAATTATTTCAGACACTTGTGTAGAGCACGTAATTCACTTAAGAATTGTGGAAATAATCGAGAAAAGAGCAATAAAACAGTTTCTCTGTGTTTGCGTAGCTTTAACCAATGTGTTAGAAAAGTACTTCCTAGACAGTCTGTCAGATTGCTTATTGGCAAAAACAAAAAATTTATTAAATTACATAAGTTCAGCAAGATGAATTTAGTCTTATCTTTTGGAATTTATTGTATATAATGTACTATGTATTACGACAACTAATAATAGTTACTTAATATATTGATTAGCAGTAAAATCGTTCAATTAAATTGAAAAATAAATTTACCTAGTACTTATAAAACATAATCTTAGGCGAGTATTACAAAAAGAGTTTACTGATAAGTAAATCCCTTATAAACCACTAAAATAATTAATTTCTACAAAATGTTTTTATTATAAAATATTTCCAGAAAATACAAAATTCCATAAAAAGTACATTCTGTATTTTTTCTTGTTATATTGCAGTAAATTTAATTATAATTTCAATAATTACTAAAAAAATATAGTTGATTCCTTTAACTTATTTATGTTTTTAATCTTTAATATATTAGTCGTGGTTTTCAAATTCATACGAAATAATTAAAATCAATGTGGGAATTTTCGAAATACACAAAATAAAAATTAAATCTAATCTTATCGATTGCATTTTGTATTGCATCCGTTTGCACTAAAATTTTATTTCAATTGAATTTTTATAGCTTTTTGAGTTTAGATATTATGAGAAATAAAAAAATAATTTCTTAACATTTAAATTAATCGACATGATTTTTAATACCCTTTATACGATTGTAAACATATATATATAATATATTAACATGTATGTGAAAGAAATTAACTTAATATTTTGTTCAGCTCGACTAAGTAAAATAATATTTTACTATTTAGATTATTGTGAGATACATATTTTAAGTCAGAGTATGACTAAATTTTTGTATCGCATAATGGCGTACAATATATTTTTGATCACCCAACAAAACACGAAATTTTTATCGTGATTGTTTTTTAACATACATACGTATAAAGTATAAGTCAACGAATGCTTGGAATTAAATAAATCTTTAAATATACCTACATATATGTACATTGGATTTTATGTTAAAAATCGAATCATTATCTTACTTAATCAATTTTATTGTAGAAACACAGTCCCTTGTAGCGACACATTTCTATATAAAGACACATTCTTGTGATTCCGGTTAAACATTGTATATAAATTTACTTACTGTCATGCAGTGACGCCACTTGCTCTATCATTTCTTATTACAATTTATTCGACTTTTCTTTGGTGCTGTAGGTGAAAAACATTTAAACTCACAGTGTGAGACTTAAACCCACTAAAACCACCTCTTAGGAACAGTTGTGTAACATTGCAGCCGCGTTCAGCGGATGCAACCCCCATTCTTGTAATAAAGAGTAGAAGGAGAGCAGAAGCGTTTAGTATTTAGCAGGCTAAATTTATCAAATCCGAAGATGAACGTATTTAGTTAGGAGGGTTGGTATTATTGATGAAGGGGATGAGGTCTACACAATATTTCGAGTAGGTCTAGTTATGAATAAACTCTGCAGTGAGGATCACGAAAACCACATTTGTAAAGCGGAATAAGTGGAAGTAGGGCAATCTCTTCCTCAAGATAGTAAGCAAAGAATTGGGTGGGGGGCTTGTGGCTCCTCAGTTTTTACTTACCAGTTTCTTATATTTCTTAATTTTTTGATGCTGTTAACTGGCTCTGTAAGTTTTTTTATTTTAATGTTTATATTTGAGTTATGTTTGGGATTTGTTGCATATTTTAAAGATGTGAAGTGATTTATTTCGTAATTGATAAGAACTTCATTTGTACTGAGAAATTTTAAATATATTACCGAATTACTTTAATAAATAAAGTTAAGAAGATTTTCGAATATATATTGAATATAATTTCTGAGAATTATTTTTTTCTTTTCTGCACTAAATAAAAACTTAACTTGAACTACAACAGTTTTTTTTGTCACAGTTTGTACCATTTTAATCGTAAGAGTATATTAATTTTCTACCTAAATTGATTAAATCTTTATATAACATATTGATTTAATTCCTGGAATTTTCCATCATTTCCATTTTAGATCTGTTTGTACAAAAAAAATTGCATTTAACTGTTACAAAGCACCTAAATGATAGTCTCGTGTTATTTTTCTTGGAAGTGATTTCCTGAGATAATTCTGAAAGAGAGAAAGAACTAGAGAGGGAGAGAGAGAGAGCGAGAGAGAGAGGAACTAGAGAGATTAAAACAGTTTACAAATATTGTGAAATTAAAAAGTCTACTTCATAAATAATATTACACATATATATTATACTATGTGGTAATGTTATGAATTTGCAGTTTAGGTTTTAAGTTAATTAAATAGTTTATCTGAAATGTATATTTTTATTTGAAATGATTTAAAGTTTTTCCAAAAATTTCATGTATCGTCACACATTAATTACAATTCAAACTCATTATGCCAACAATTGTTGTCAAGCCCATAATTTAGCGTTCGTCGATGACACCTACGAGCGGTCGTTTTCCAGTGTGTTGCATACTTTCAATTAGCAGGAAAGTTAAAATTGTGTAAACTTTCAAAGTGGTGGGTGAGGTAATTCTCGAAATATGATAATAACATCTTCAAAGAAATGTGCCAGCCAGTAAAATGGAATTAACATGACGCACTAACAAGTTTTAAATATGTATAAGATTGTTTGTATATTTATATAGAAGCGCGCTTCTGACAAAAACCATTAACTTCAAAGGAATTTGCTTCATTAGCCTAATGCCAAAAAGGTGATTGGCTTTGCACTCTGCGTTCTTCTTCTTCAGTTGCTATAAACTGTGAACAAGAAATTTAAATTTTGGAGCTCCATTACCTATGTCAACATTAAAAAGTTAATTAAAACAAAAACGAAATCTAAATAAATAATGAATGTATATAAAAAAAAAAAATAAAATAGCACGGATGACGACAGAATTTTATACCGATGAATTGCGATACATGATAAGCAATGGTAGGTCGGTTGGTCGGTCGGTTGTGTCAGTGACGATATGAAGAGCAACGGTCAGTTTAAAAAATGAGTCAAAGTTTTGGTATGCATCATGCAATACTCGGGGTATTGATAGTGATGCGATTATAGCCGAAGTATCGTTGGATTCAAATACACGACGCCGATAAGTGTTTCTGTAGTTGTGGCGGGCTCGTATTTACTTACCCATTTCTTCTGAGAATTAGACAACCTCGTTTATGGTGTGTTATACTTTGACTTGGCTAAGATTACAGCCGACTTGTTTTAAGAGGTTCGATCGCAGTTTGTGTGTACAACTGACAGTTAGTCATGAATCAAATGCCATAAAGTAAACTCGGTGAAAAAAGAACTGATTTCTTAAAGAATTAAAAAAAACGGAAAATCTTCAATAAATTTAAAACATAAATTAATATTGAGTTTTTGAACTATTTTGAATGTAAAAGTGTTAATTTGTCTTATAGATATAGAAATAAACACAATTAATAAAAACAGTTTGAAAATATGGTGCATATTTTTCTATTCAATAGTACTCGCGAACAGCATTCAATGGTTTGTGTCAGCAAAGAATTAATCTAGAAATATTGTAATAAATATACAAAAAGATGGATTGTTAAAAAATATGGATATAAAATCATAATCCATCGTTTCTACCGTGAAGTGCTTATTTTTTTATTGTGCTTTTATAAATTTGGTTAACAAACGCCTTTCCACTTGTCGGTAACTCATATATGCTTTTTACGGTTTTTTCCAATTTAATACAAATTTATACTTTTCATTTCACAGTGACTTCTTTTTTGACCAGCCACTGAAAAGTTAAGTGGCATTTCGTTTTGCTCTTTTGCATTTAATTTGCATTAAAATCAAAAATTAGGTTAAATAAATTTCTATAAAATTTAATTATTTTTATATGCAAAAGAATATGTTATATCTACAAATCTGTCCATATCTATGATACGTTCTGTTGTAAATAAAATTAGGTTAATGTTCATTATTAACTTTAATGACTTCGTAAAAATTGCTTTTGATATATGCTTCAGAGAAAATGAAAGCTATCTCGTCAGTGTTATTTAATTTTCAAAATATAAAGTAAAAAAATTAACAACTTGAAATTTAGACATCAAACGATATGTTGTAGTAAAGAAGAAAGAAATGCTGAAAATAGAATATTATAAAAATTTTAAAAAATGTTTGTGAATATTTTAAAGATTACTTTTAACTTACTAGTACTAGACTCACTAGTATATCAATGAGGAGTTAAACAAATTCAAAATGTCCGCACTATAAATATAATAAAATAAATATAAACAAAAAATCGTGATATTATTATAAACTTTTATCAGAATAAATATAAACAAATTGCTTCTTGTAAACTCAACTCTTAATTTGCACAGTAGCTCAAACTTAATAAAATCGTGTATGAAAACAGTTTAAAAAACACGTACAAAATAGAGAATGTGAAGAAATAATTGATAAAGATTATTCTTAATCTTATGAGTATATTCCCTTTCTTCTCAAGTTGATCAAATCTTTATGTATCGGTTTAATCGGAAATTTCCATTACTTTTTTTCAGATCTGTTTATTTAAATAAGTTCCACTTAAAATGTTACAAAAGCACTCGAGACTGCAATTTGTTAAAAAAAACCATGCAAAAAAGTAATACAGACATTTTTATAACCTTGCGAAAGGTGTAAAAAGGATATGTTAAGTGGTTAGGATTTTTATAACTTATTAAAGTAAACACATCAGCTCCATAAGGTGCATAAACTCCATAAGGGTATATAAGTTCGGCACATCCAAAGCAAGCTTCTTTACTTGTTTTAAATAGTTCTGATATTCAGTTTGAACAAACTAAAGTGTTTACCAACAGATGCATGGCCTTCCCATTGCTAAAGATAGTCTACAATATATATTTTAGTTTAGAAAATACTTTATTTTTAAATATTTTAAATTGAATTTAGATTAAGAACAAATAATTGTATTTGGAACTTCTGTAACAACCGATATAAATTTCGCACATCGTGTTCTTTCCAAATTCTGTATAAAAAAACTGTCTGAAAAAGTTTGGGTGTAAATAAAATTAAACTATAAATAAAAAAATACTTATAGTTATGGTTTAGCAATTAAATATCGTATATGTAATTTGTCATATTATTTTTGCAATCTATTAAATTACAAATTGTTTATTAACATTAGAACTAAATTTTATTTTTGCACAAAGTGGTGAAATTGCTTTTAATTTAATTTACTTCACAAAATAATTGATTTTATTAAGCGAATCTGTCATTTTACCATATATGAAGAAAAATATCGCTTAAATTGAACATTAAATGGAAGCACCTACTATATTTCAAACAGACAACTATCAAATGTTTAGTTTTTATATCAACACAGTTCTAGCACTAGACTTTTAAATTCAAGACAGTATATTTTGTAAAATGTCTCAATATTAGAAGAATAGGTTTTGAAAAATTAAGACTTATTATCATCTAATATAAACTCCTTTATTTGAATTCAAAAATTATTACAAGTATATTGTTTTTAAAACGCCTAACTATAATATCGTCAAAGAGATTATTGATATGCAATATAATATATAAAAAAAAAAAATAAAATAAAATATAAATAGTACTTGCTTTCTTGCATTTATTGGAAAATATGTATTTTGATCTAATATACCTTAAGGAGAAGAGGGTTATTAATATAAGTATATGTATTAATTCGTACGACTGTTTTTTTAAATTTGATAAGTTTGTAAATATTATTTTAAAATTTGCTTCCAATCTTTTTATCAAATACATATGTTAGAAGTAGCTTTCTTGACTCTTGACTGGGTTACAAGAACAATGTTAACAAATGAATGACGTTCTACAGACGTCACTGTATATCAATCAGTTAAAAAATAAAATTGTTATTAGATTATAATATTTGGTATATATTGGTACTTTATTCGTTTAGTGCTTATAATTATATTAGTAATTGTTCTTAGAATTAACTTTTTTAAGGTCGAAATAAAATTTCAAATCATCTAACAATATCCTAACATAATTTTAATAAATAAAAACAGTATTTGTATGTGATTGAGGACAGAGTGGATAGACATATTAATCTACATAAACAATTTTTGCTCCAATTTCTGTTATTTGTTTAATAATAATTTCTTTCTATTTTGATAACTTTATCAGAAAGTTTATAAGTAAATTCCAAGAAAATGCCCACATGTTCTAAAAATTAATAGCAATCTTAATCAAAATGTCTTATTTTTTTCTTGGAAAATGACATCATATCACATAATGAAAGTTTAATCAAATAATTGAAACGCATAAACAAAATAATTATTTGGAGTGAATTTCATTTTTAATAATATAATTTTGTTATATATACCGTGAAATGCGAAAAAATACATAATTAAAATTGAATTATTTTTCTTTGTTTTCTAGGCTGTGAAGCAATTTATTGATCTCTGCAACAATACAGTCCGACGTAACATATCACATACTACTGCCGTTAAATTCCTTCATGCCCGCAAATTTGATGTTCCACGTGCTGTCTCACTTTATGAACAGCACGAACAGATACGCCTCAAGGAATGCTTATACAATATTGATCCGGATGTGGAGCCATTACGTTCTGAGCTGCAAACAGGCAAATTCACAATTTTGGTTAGTGTTGTTGTTGCTTTTGAATTTGTATTTTAAATGCATTTATTCGTTACTTTTTAATTAATGCATTTTTTAACCTTTTGCAGTCTGCCCGTGATTCCAGTGGTGCAGCTATTGCACTCTTCACAGCTAACAAACATAGTCCCTTAAGCGTCACACACACTACCACATTGCAAGGCATTGTGTATCAATTGGATTGTGCACTGCAAGATACAGAAACACAGAAATCGGGTCTGATATTTATATACGATATGAGCGGCTCAAAATATTCAAATTTCGACTATGACTTATCACAAAAAATTTTAACTCTATTAAAGGTAAGTTATCTAGAATAAATTATGCTTTCCTAAAAATATGTATAAAAATATTTAATATTTTTAAATATTATTTATTATATATATAATATTTAATATTTAAATATTAAAGTATTTAGTTAATGTATTGACTTTCTACAGTTAATTGTGCATCTCATTTAATATTTTATGATGAATATTATTAATTTAAAAAAATCTATTTGATTAGAGTAATATACTTAAATATACCGTACTACGTTATCAATACAATTTTTTGTATTTTTCTGAATTAAATTAACATACCTTAATAATAATTTAAGTAATATATAAATTCATGTACTTTATTTTTCCCTGAACATTGATATGTTTTGTATATTTTATTGCAATTTTTATACTATAGATATAAAATACTTGATAGTATTAGTTGTATAGAGTATATATCCTTAATATTTAGATAATTTATTATTGTATAATTAACATTTTAAATTAAATTATATCAAATATTGTTAGAGACTAAATCTTTTAGTTATGTACTTTTATTATGTTAGATTTAAATTAGTTGAATTTAAATTTGATTTGAAACTGTCTATATTAGTCGTTGCATGTCACTAGGATTCTTGTTATTAGATGTCTGCTTTGTAGTGATTTAGTATTCAACGAGTTTTTGCTACGGTTGGGCTTCTACAAAGTAAGTGAGACCAATTACAATTACAAAGAAAATAATATTAACACTTTCAGTCGTAGAAAGTTAAATACATTCCTAGCTTAAATTGGATTAATATATCGTCAAAACGGACGACCAGGTTTGTCTTGGCTTAAATGGTCTATTTTGGCCATTTAATTTATGCTTCTTTGAGAAAGAAACTTACAGATATTGTTTTATATGTAAATATTTAGAGTATAGCTTATATTTATCATGATTACGTCATCGCGTAACCATGACCAATCCATGTTCTATACAAATGTCATAATAATCATAATGTTCTTGTATCCAAACGACGAATATGTTAGTTTGTCTACTGTAATTGAGTTAAACCAAAACAAATAGACCTTTTTATTTAAATCTTAAATAATAGTTTATTTATATACAATAATTTTATCTATTAAAAATTAGTCAGCTCAAAATTTCGTATATGGAAATATTTATAAGTTTTTAGAAATTGATGAGTCCATTTTAATATCATTTTAGAAAATGTTCATACATGATACCACGAATATAAAATTTTATTTTGTTTATGCATATTATTGTATAATATTACAAAAATTATTCTAAAATAAATTATAATTTACTTGATATATAAAATATAGATTCATTGAACAGATAATTCAAAAATTGTATAATTAAAATTGAGATCCAATATTGAACTAAGAGATAATATAATATCAAAATTAGATATTATCGAATTTTAATAAAAATATTAATTTATTAAAAAACAATGTAATTTTGTTTAATATGTATGTTTAACTAAATTAATTCTACATTAATTAAAAATACGTAAAAGGTAGCACTAAATTAATATTCAATTGAATGCACTAAAAATATATAATTTAATTCTAATTATTAGTTAATTATTAGTTATTTTTGATTATTATTTTTGAACTGCAAATCTGAATTGTAAATTGTATTCAGTTATACAATCACTTATAATTGATAAGATTGTCTTACAATGGAAAACCTTATATAACATTATCACGTCATGCCGTTTCACATTTTTTTTTGTTGTCGAATAAAGTTATATTTGGCCAAGCCAGATCAACTTGTTAATAATAAAAAGAACTGAAGATGCATCTTATAAATTGCAGCTATGCCGTTATGTTTTAAAAGACTTACACTTACATATTCGTAAATCCTGATACCACTTTATTCTATTCTACTATCATAATCCTAGTAGGGTATTAAAGTCTGATATCTTTATCAAAAAGAATATTGGCTTCGTCGACCGTTTGAAGACGGTTTTTAAAAAATCGTCGGAAAATTTTTAAGTACAACGTAAGAAACTTTAGGAAAATATAACCATAGATGTAAGTAGTTTAGAAAAGTTTGAAAGTATCGTGCCTTTTGTAAATTTTAAATTATGACTTTAGTAGCACTAAAAAAAAAATTAAATAATTAACTAAGCTTAACTAATTTAAAATTAAAAGGTATTACATTTTTAAAATATATTCATCGATATAATCATTATATATTGATTGTCTTTGAAAACTTAAATATGTTTCAGATTTTTTGTGTAAAAGCAAAGTTCAGAAGACTTGGCTGAGATAAAATATCATCAATTGTAGTACAATATATCTTCATTTAACAGCTTAATATTCAGTCCCGAAAAGGTTCTGTAATAAATTATACTAACTTCCCACCTATCGTTACCAATATTATATTTCTTTCTTAGCGAAGAATCAATTTACAGATCTAAAATCTATTAGGCCATACCAGTTTGAGTGTTCTCATTTTATTTTTCTTTTCTTTCTTATATTCCGTTTCCTCTAGTGGGGCATAGGACCATAGTTTTGCTTTTAAATTTCAAATATTAGGTAGGCTGAGTGCAAGTGCTAAATATTCGACCTTATCCACGTTTTTAAATTTATAGACATAAATTATTAATCATATAATTTTCTTGTCACACTTTTAGTTATATTTTGGTTAAATAATAATATGGTTTTAGATTCAATCTACGTAGAATTGTTGAATATTGTCGATAAGATATCAGATTATATAAGATATATTTGATTTAGATATTAAACCATACACGTAGTTATGGATTGGGTTAAAATTACGATAAAGAGTGAATTTTCTCATTTTGCAATGTCTTCAGATTACATGGTTGTTATATTTTTCCTTGTATAAGAATTATCGAATTTATTCCTATCAGTGTTAGACTTACAATTGCTTATCAAAGATTTGACATCTTTAATAAGTTAGCAAATTTTACTTGATTTTTTTCCCGGTAATGTTATTAAAAACTTTATGGAAATATATGAAAACCAAGTTCTGATACTATTAATAATGATAATTTTTCCAACAATTGCTACTAAACTCTTAACTCTTGTTGTTGTGAAGTTCTTAGTTATAATCTTGTGTAGAATTTATAGTGTATGTTAGTATAGTATAGTATATATATATATATATATATATATAATATATATATTTTGAATAATATATTGATGTGTGGTTTGAATATATTAAATTGAATACGTATTTGTACAAAATGTTATGAATTCTATTTTAATTTTAATTTCGTTCTCATAATTTAAGTATTTCCCACTACCAAATTATTAACATTTCATGTATTTCAAAGAATTACTAAAAAATATTAAAATTGTTTGCTCCAATTGGTATATACGACTACATATTTGGGAATTACTCTAGTGTATGAGTTACACATTTGTTCTATTAAGTTCGTACATCTGAATTTGCATTATATGGTACTTTGAACTCTAGTGCAGTGATATTGTTGAATTTTACCATTTCCAATCACATTTTAATAATATATTTGTATTTTAAATATATATATTAATTGATGTACAAATTTAAAATGAATTGAATTTCTTAGAGTACATAATTTTTAGATTGTTTGCATAAATTTATATCTATATATTTTTTTGTTTACGTTAGTCAGAAATACTATTTTTCATTAAAATTGCAACAAATAATTGAAATTAATAAATTCCTTTCCAGAAGTAAGATATTTTTGCATTTAATTTGCAATTTTCCTTCACGAGCTAATGACTCCGTGTTGATTAAATGCTTATAAGAGAATATCTTACTTAACATATTTACTGGTAAACAAATTGATTAGAGCACTTCAACGAGCACAAGGTAGAATATGTATATATGTGCTCGTATACTCGTATCAATATGTCCATATTGTTGTCTAATATATAGACTATATATGTCTAGATAGCAAAATTTAAACTCTACAATTTAACAACACTACTTTTTTGGCTAGATTAACTGTTGCTGCTTATGTAGAGACCTTAATGAGAAAATGTCAAGACTGTTTCGTTTAACCGCCCAACACGTAAGACTCGCTTCAACTTAGCTTGATGTACTCGTAATCATATATTTTGTTTATTTAGTTCCGTTGATCGCTATCAATGCATGAAATCTGTAATACAAACGTGCTCATATGCATTTTGAAGGCATCGCCACTGACGCCAGCTCTGTTTGTCGCCTTAATTAAAAGAAACTAAACGTTGTCCGCCGTTACTTCCGCAACGAACCATAAACAATTTACGTGCATAATTTATATTAACTAAAAATTTAAAGTATTTTACCGCACGAAATTTTAAAAAAAAACTTTAAAATTTTCTTTTAAGTTCTAATAAAAACTTTCATAATTTATGTCATTATTAGTGATTTGGCGAAATTTTTAAAATGTATTTAAAATAAAATCATGCAAGTAAACTTTAAAGTATGAGTTCCTTTAACCCTTAGTTGTGTCAGCACTTTTCCAATGATATGTTATACAAATAGTATCTTATCTTCAACATGCAAATACCATTATTGCAGTTTGATTTTCGTATGTAAACCACTCTTGTTCATCGCAGGTCATAATTTTTAACACAGAAAGTGTTTACAGGAATTTTCTTTTGAAATTGTTAAGCATAACAAAACACTGTTCGTCTTGTCTTGCTCAATATTAACATTAGTTTGGTGCTGTTAATTAACAATTCTGCTTGCTTTTGTTGGTTTTTGCACTGTTATCTAGCACTTTTCTCCGTATTTTACCGGTTTTAGTACTCTCAGTCAGTAGCTTTGTTAACTTCATCCCTTTTTGGTGCTACTAGCCAGCACTTTTGCTTATTTAACTGTATAAATTGAATGCTTACATTTAACAGTGGCGACATTTTCATGGTATTATTTTATTATTTTAATATTATTACAAATTTTTAAAATGAGTGCCAATCTTTAATATTTAATTATTAAAATTTAATTATCAGTACATAGATAGACATAAAACCCTACCATGTTAAGTATAAGTTATAACTTCAGCTATCAAGAACTTTTCCAGAACATCCGTTAAATC